AAAAGAGTTCTCCCCTTGTCTCTTTCAACGAGACGAGTCGGCTCATTCTTACGCTTGTTTTGCGATTTATCGTGTGACCGACAGCACGTCGCCGACAACGGAAACGTGTTGCAAGGTAAAACGGGCGGTATCTTCTTTCGTCAATCAACTGGCAATTAGTATTATACAATCTTCACAAAAGAAAAGAGGATGTTCAAAAAAGGAAAAATTTAACTAGAGATTAGAATTGAAGAGAAAAGAAAGAAAGAAAGAATGAATGAATGAATCGTTATTTATTATACGCTTTGCAACTGTATCTCCTCAAGCGCAAAGAGAGAAAGAGAGAGAAAAACTTTTTTGTTTATTTTTTAACCAACGAATTTAGAATTTGAGTTAGCTTTAATAAAATACTTGTAAAAATATTATATTTTTTTTTATATTATGTGCGCCAATAAACTTATTTCTCTGAAAGTGAATATGTTTGCAATCAAAAATTTTTAACAATAATTTTAATGATATATAAAAAATTTTTATATTCCGATTTTATTATTATATCATTTTTCTGTTATATGTATTAAGGATTAGTATTATATATTATGAACGTTTATATGCATGTATAATGAGAATTATTTTTATCTATCTTTTATTAGTAAATTACTAAATATTCTAATGAAATATGCAGAGGAAAAAAATTATTCAAGATCGCTATAGATAACGGTAAATATTTCAAAGCGAAAGAAAGTTTTAATAACGTCTATTATTTCCGCGAAAGAAAAATCGACTAAATTACATTTCTAGACAACGAAAGGAAAGATGCTCGAGATACCTCGCCAGCTTTAGGGTTAATATCCGCAAAAACGCACGTTCTAAACCAACAATTAACAGATCTTAAAGTATAATAACACACTACGTCAAATCATCCCTCGGAGATCGGATCTACCGCGCAACGAGCCTCTCCGGCATCGCCCGTCGATTAAATCCCACGTGAAAACGCGTCGCGGCAGTTTCTTGCGGCTTTACGTGCTATTAAATCGCGATTCGAAGATAGCTGGCGGTCGTTTCTCTTCGCGGGCACGCAGAAAGGAGGTACGTACCGTACCGTACGAGTTCGCGAGGCTCGCGCTGCGGAACGCGGCGTGGAAGCCGCCGGTGCGTGGCTGGAACCACCTGCTTCCGGTCGTTGTACCGGTGGCGGTGCAACCGCCACCGCGTTTTCCTCGAGGCGCAACCGTATTACCCCGCGGTTACATTGCCGTTACATCGTCATTGTTCGATCGCGATGTACACCACCCTTTATATACAATCGCGAATTCGGCAATGTATACGTACACAAAAATGCATCGCGCGATCGTCCAACGTGCATGTCCGCATAATAGATACTCGTTTTAACAGATCTCTATAACGATTTGTAAAGAAGTAAACGTTTACCACATTATTATTTATATATTTTTGATATATTTGTTAAACAGCATGCACTCTCTAAAAAGAGAATACTGATAAAATTAAACATTAAGAAGGGAAATACATTTCCATAATGCAATATGCTTTCGATGCATGTAAATTTTCGTAGTAATTCTCAACTGTCGTGTCTGATTAGGAAAGTGAAATGATGCGTGTCATGCCATGGTAACGGGGTGTTTGCCTGCAGTGTCATAAACAGAAACGAGACGTCGAAGTTTTGCCTCGCTGGAGCTCAAAATAACCGGCTGCTCACGACAGAGTGTTAGCGCGATTGAATTTCAGAATTTCACATGTAACGTGCAAAATGGTTGGTAGTCAAGACCGATTGCTCGCGTAGCGTGACTTCACCGTCACCGTTCCTAGCCATTTCGGTGCAACCTTGCGCGGGCAAGGTGGTCACATATGGTCGCCTGCACCTGTCGAGCTAGACACGCGCGCACCCAACTGGTTCAACTATTTTCGAAGCACGTGCATCGAGAACGAACGAAAATAAGATCGCGAAACTGCTACAGCAACGATATAAATTCGACGACTGTGTAATCGGGAAGGACGTCGTGCGGTATAAATAATATAAGCAAGTCTTGTGCCAGGGGAAGGGGGGAAGTGCTCCGTGGCGTAATCATGAATATTTTATCGTTTCTCATGTTTAAGGTTCGGTCTCGCGTGAGTACCTACGCGTGTCGCGGTAATTGCGACAAATATAGGCTAATTAATTGCCCGCGGATGGCAATATGTTCGCCTGTTTGGCGACTTTGTATTATACAATTGCCGTTTAATCGTCGCCAACATTAACATGCATATGCTTAATTCAGAAGAAATTATGTACGCCAGCTAATCAACGTTCAATGAATATCAGTCAGTCATTGCTCAATTACGACGTTAATTGTACACGGTCGTGTTTGTAAAACATAAAAATTCCTCGCGTACGCCTTTCCAACACAAGTATATCTTTATTAAAGAAAACGGTAAAGCCCATTAATTTTCAACGTTATAGTAACATCCATTGTTACGTAATCATCATCAAGCAATATTAATTAATGACGCGTATGAGCGTATGCGAAAATTATAAAGGTTCGCAGGATGCAAACCCTTTCGGGTAGATCATTAATTTTCTACACATCATTAACTATTACTCCGCTTATTTCCCCCGTACCGAAACCTTCTTTCGAGCGCAACGAGCATACATAAATCATTATTTCTCACTCTCTCGGAGTAGAACGCGAAATTTCAAACGAAATAATTTTACCTTAAATAAAAACCGTTAAATTTTCAATCGGAAACATAAATATCTATACAAAATGATTAATTTATTGATCAAAAATCACTGACACGTATCTCGCTATTAATTGGAGTCGATTTCACCGAAAATGTAATCGTTCGTCGTTTCTTTACAACTTGCTTGTTATTGTTATGTTTTTTTCAATGATTTTTACGAGTTGGTAAGATCGATTGTGCGAACGTATATTTAATAAAAGTGGATTATTAACTGCTGTTTCACTCTCAACATTGATTCTTCAAAAGCAGACATTTCGTGGAAACAAGCAGCTCGTTGCGCTATTCTCGCGGACAAGATAGATAGACCCGGATACCGCCGCGAGACGCCGGCGCTCTTTTTTCCCGCGATTAGCAAATCGAGGGGGCATCGAAAGAAGAAGAGGGCAACGAAGGAAGAGAGGCTCTCGTCTCGTCCCCCACCTCCATTCACCTTTAACGCGAACGGCCGGGCGCGTTCGCCGAGGCTCGACGGCATCACAGTAGTCAAACGCAAACTGTCGCCGAAGCGGCGAGGAGCCGCGACGGACTATCAGCCGGGTGTATATCAGGGCGCCGCGCCGCGACGCGCCGAACGCGAACGAACGAACGAACGAACGAATTTGCCTAGGTATATCTACACGCGAGCGTCGCGATGTGATCGTCTCTCGGTTGCCTCGTCGAGCCAATTATATATCGCCAATTTCGAGCGACTTTTAAAGTCGCCCTCCGCGAGTGAGCCGTTTCTCCGGGCGACCCAATTCGCCGAAATATAAAGATGGGAAATAAACGAAAATAACACTAACCTCGTAGCGGGGTACGTCGGTGTGTCGGCGCATCGGCGACGGGCGGCCTGGACAGCTTGGACTCCTCGACGGCTCCGTCATCCAGGGAAATCGGCCGAGATTGCGAGCGAGGACGATTGCGAGAACGATTTCGCGACCGGCAGTGCGAAAAAGACCGACGATTTCGCGGCGGAGTAACGCGCGGTTCGACACACGATAAATCGCGTCACTATGAAGTTGGTCACACACACGTCGCGCCGTAGAAAAATGAGTAATACCAATCTTATAACTTTTCACTTTTGAATACTGACTCATTATTGGCTAGAGAAAAAATAGTCCAAATTTTGAGAAAAGAAATTATCGAGTATAAAATAGATCTGTGATGTTGTGAAATTGATAATTAATGTTAGCCGATAATAAATTGAATCCAAAGCGTTAGCGCGTTATTCTAAAATCGAAGGAAATAAAAAATTGTGGAAAATTGGAAATTATGATAATTTATGCATAATCCGATAATACGCTAATGTACCGAATTATGTACCTGAAAGATTGATGACAGATTTGAAATATTACGAGAACACTAAACAAAAAAAATGACGCTATAATAGCTATAATTTTTAATTAATTTACTTGCGAGACGTTATTAACCCAACCGTGATTCAATAAAAAAGATCGATATAAATCTCGTTCGAAACTGGACCTAAATCCGTAACAGTGTGAAGTAAACGACGAAAGTGCGAGAGTAATCGGCAACTTCAGTTGGACGCGTGGAATATTAACCTATCTAGTGTTTCGTCGTGCAACAAGTGCATCTCCTTCTTCGAAAAAAAATCGCGCAGAGAAGTAAATAGATCCACAACAGCGACGAGAGATCGACAAACAGCGAAAATGGGAGTGAAAAAGTTTATCATGAAGAGGATTCCCTTCCTCAAGATGAAGGCGAAGCGAAAATACCGTGAGTTCATTAATTCAACAATCAGCCTGAAAACGAGCGTTGGAAACAAAAGTATTTTTCAGTCGTGACGCAAATTTGATATCTCCTACGATATTTGCTCGTCAACTATAGTTTCCGCGATAATTTTCGAATTAAATGGAAAATCACCGAATAGAACAGAGACGATTGCATCAATGTTTACCTTGACTCGATGTTTTTTTTTTCTTTGCAATTTGATCGCCACCGCGGCGGAATGGACTGCTAATACTGCTATTGTTTATCGTCATACCGATTAGCGTCAATGGCAGCGGCGTAAGCAATTAACAGTTACTTATCTAACTCTACACAAGTTGCGTTTGTTATCAGGAGAGTTGAATTCGTTATCTTGCCTCGAGAAATCGAACGACCTCAAAGATCGGTCTCTCTCTCTCTCTCTCTCTTTATATGCCAACATCTGATCACGTTGTTATTTCAGCTATTTGCAACGCGCGATGCCTTTTTCCATATTCGACAAGTGCATCTGTCTGGAACGTGGACGAGCGAAAAATGGAAGTGTCAGGGGCGATATCGTGGAATCGGAGTGTCAGGAAAATCTTATTCGCATTATCGTCACAATCGATCAAAATATACTCATTTTAAGAGCGATAACAGAGAAAAAGTTGCATCGTTTCACGCATCCAAGGAGGAATTATATCTATATTAATTTTATTAATTCACCATTTTCACTTGCTCAGAGTAAAGAAATTTTAATTAAGAAAATTCAATCGTAAATCTTTCGTTTCAAAAATTCAATTTTCTGGAAGTCTCTTTAAATAAACGGCGGTATTATGACAAAAGAACTGACTTTGTCTGACACGCGAACATGTAACTCTTGGCACGCAACGGTCAGACGGTCGCCTCTTATTAATTTCTCGCTCTCCTCCTCGCGATAAATTTATCGCGATCTCATGATCGGCATGCGGCAGTAACGTTCGTCTCTGCTGCGAAACTTTCACGATGCTGGAGATCGGTGTTTAGCTCTTTTTATTTCGCCTAATCCACATGTGCAATGCGCGTGATGCGCGTGATTCGAGCGCTTCAACGTTAATGACGATGCATGTATAGGATGTCCTGCAACCTTGCGACCTTTATAATTTTAATGACAAGTTTCTCCCCAATTTGGAGTCGATCTTTCCTTGGCGAAAATGACGAAGGAAATCGTCGTTTTTGCCTCAACTATTTATTTCGAATGCTAATTATATTTATAATTTTAAACATTAAAATAAAATTCCATTGAGGTTCCTTCGCTGGAGAAACATTTTGTCCAAGAATACGTTATTAAAATTAAGATTGCAGATTGCGGAATATCTCGTGCAGACGTATCATTCCGATTCGTCACGAATTGCATGCTGAAAATTCTGTATCGCAGCGGCCGAGCCCACGAGACATATCACGACATTGTCAAAGGAATTTCCTACAACGTCTATCGCATTTCTTCATTGTTCTCTCTGAGATAACATTCTGCTCTGTAACGCGATTGCGCTGATAAAAAACATTTCGCTGGAACAGGTGAACTTAGCCTGTTATGATTGCATAAGAATACGTGCAATGATGACACGAGAAAAATCTACTGTCGAATAATACTGTCAATAAATGTCAATAATTAGCACTTTACAAAGAAACAGAAAAACACAAGAGAAATAAAATATCAATTTATTAATGAAATTATTTTATTAGTTTCTTAAACTAAATAAGTATTAAATAAATATAAAATACGGATTTTATTTTCCAAGAGCGTGTATTTTTCTCAAAATCTCTGCGAAGGAATCAGTTTAAATTAATTTTCTTAGTTAAAGGGTTAACGAAGCTATAAAGGACAGAGTTGATTTAAGAGGGAGGTCGATTAAAGTGGATATTTCAACGTTCAACGCAACCATGTTTTTGTAGAAATTAATACAATATTAATTTCTTACAATAAAACGCGGCGAATAATTAAGCGTATAGTTTTTCAAGACTGATTTTTTTCGCTAGATGGCACGAACGGAACGGCACTGGTGCAAAATGCGGTTCAGGCAGACCAGCCGGCAGACTCCGACAACGCCAGCGTCGGAAGTGGCAATTCGAACCTTAGCACTGGTGCGCTTCAGGTACGAGAAATATACTTTATTATATACTTTTGTAATTATTACATTATATTGCGACTTATTTATATGTTGTAAGAAAAAAATTTGCGTGTGATATTAAAATTCGATTAAAAACTGCAAAGTTATGTAATAATTCTATCCTTGCCACTATATTTTTTATAAAAAAATTTGTGTATTGTTCCTTATCGCTTCTGGTTAATTAATCTCTAGTTAGATATTTCTAATCTTAAACTTGATAATAATCCTTATTATTAAGTCTTTTCTTTAGTTTCTAATTTTATATAATATAAGTAAATTAGTGCTCGATTTTGTGAAATATGAGAATATATAAAGAGATAGTAATAATATTTTCATGCGTTGCAGAATATCAGAGAACAAATGGCGGCATCTCTGGAACGGATGAAAGAGCTGGAGGAACAGGTCAAGGCGATTCCCATGCTGCAGGTGAGTTCTCACTAATTTCCTATTCTCCCACCTACGCTTTCGTAACGTTCATCGCCCGGCATAATTTGCACCCAGGCGAGCTCTTCCGTTCTAGCGAAATGTTCGTGGGTAAGATATTCCCGCAGCTTTATCATGATCTCGTTGTTTCTATTATGAAGACGTCTCGTTGCACGTTCAATGCACAAACTATGCGAAAATATGAAGTAGTTCGTGCATTTTTATAGAAACGTTTCATAAACTTATATCTACATATATGGTATTTACGTGTAATTATTATTATTTTAATAAATTTTATATAAAAAATAATAACAGTTAAAGAAGATAAAGATATTTAGTATTTTATTTTTAATCAATCTTGTTATTAATTTCATTTTTAATATATGAAATACAAAATATTTTATCCCTTATTCCATCTATTGATATCAGAAAACTGATGTAAAGACATAGTTATATAGAATATTAATCAATATTAAAAGTAAAATATTAATTCTAATTTTTGCATTTTATCGGAAATTTAAGTAACGTTTTTATTACTTCCGCAATTCTAAAAGTCATGTTTTCTCATGTGTCGCAATTTTATCAGTCATGACAAAAAATTATACTGTTACCGGGTTTATCTAACTTCGCGCACGCAATCTCTTTCTTTTCCTCTCGCAGGTGCAAGTCTCGGTATTGAAAGAGGAGAAGCGCAATCTTCTGCGGCAAGTGGACGAGCTGAGTAAAACGAATTCCTCCAACGACACCCTGCACAGGCATCGCAGTCAGTCGTTCTCGGAACAGCGCACCACCACCCTGCGAAATCTGAAGAACTCTGGAAGCGTGTCTACCAGGGACATGGGAACCATGTGCGGCGTGATGACAAGGGACGTCGGGGTATCGTACCAGCCGGTAAAATTTGCATTTTTATTTAATTATCGCACTTTGTCTACCTAATCATAATTTATCTATCTAAATCATATATGTTTAAAACACGTAAAAAATCTGAAATTTTAGATTTTTTTAATTAGAATTATTTAATTAACTGTTTCAGTGTATATTATATTATATACTTTTAAAATGTTCTTTTCGCTAATTTTATGAACTTAAAATTTATCTTTTTTAAATCTAATTTTAGAAAATGACAAAAAATTAATCAAATTAAGATTAGAGATTATTAAAGTTAACTTATTGTATGATAAGCTTCTATTTAATTATATATATTTAGATTACATAATATCTTTAGATTATATACCTAGTTTTTTAATTCTAATTTACAATTAGTGAGAAACTCTTATTGAATTAAAGTTAAATTATTTGTCGATTTATGTATATCCAGAAGTCAGCAGCGATTGCTTACTCGTTATTAATTAGAAGTGAAAATCGGAATTTAAATGGCGATATATAATTTTGCCGTGCTCCCGTTACTTCGCGTGTCGTTTTCTCACATCGCCGAAGTCGAGCGACTTTCGCGCGCATTTCTTTATTATTTCGCATAAATATTTATAAATAGACACGTCGAGATTATAAATATATTAATTACAATATGTATCCTCTCTTCAACATTATGCTGCGTTTCTTTTTTAAACTTCCCAGATACGTCATCGGCAATATAATCTGCTCGGTATGCAATGGTTCGTAATATTTAAAGCGATCAACAGTGTATATCTAAAATCAATATGACACTATTTTACGTAATATTGCGTAGCAATTATATCAATATTAATTAATTTTTAGAAAGAGATAAATATTATGACTCGAATAAATTATACTTTAATAACTCGTATTATACTCAATTTTATTGGACGTCATTGTGTTAACAATTGGTCGCGTGCAGGTTCGAACGAGAGACGTCGGTATGATAACAAGCACGCCGATCAAGCCGTTACAAAAAAGTCATCTGCGAATCGAGGAGATCGTGCCCGAGATCCAGGACCAGAGCGCCGTACTGGCAGACGAAAAATCATCAAACCTCTCGAGCTTTTGCGACTCTCAACATCGTAGCTGGAAATTAAATTTGACCCGCAGTCAACTGATGCTGGAGGAGATCCTGCCGGAAATACGAAGGAAGCAGCTGACAAGAACTCCGCTTCAAATGGAGTCGATACTGCCCTGCAATGAGAACAATGTGATCAATCGCAAAACTATAAAAAAGACGCGGGATTTCGGCGTCAACACGGAGAAGAAATCCAAGAGTCTTCAGTGCAGTCACTTTTTAATCGAGGACATCGCACCGGAGGCGAAGAAAGAGATCAAGAAGCGTTCTTGCAGCACAACAACGAGATTGAGTATGAAAGATGTCCTGACGAAGGAAGACGCTGAATTGCTTGTGGAGCACGCTCTACGGAATTACAAAAACAGTTTGGTCAAAGACACTTCTTCCAGAGGCATTCAGTGCAGTCCGGAAATGCCGAGAGTCGCCGAGAAGCGGGATCAGGCGATCCAGGTGACGGAACAGTTTAAAATGCGCTCGCACGTGAGCGTAACCGCCAAACCGACGACATCGGAGGTCGGGATCGGAGTCAGATTCGGTTCTTGCACTAGAAGCGTGTGCGTCGGACCGGATCCAGTGGCGGTGCAGCCACCGGTGTCGTTGAACTCGATGAACTCGAGAAGTCGCTCGTTCAACTACGGCGACACGCGAACGAAGGCGAAATCCAATAAATCGGTAGCGGTGATGGTGGAAGACTTGGTGACAACTATCGCTCGCGGCACCGACACTTCCGGTCTCACCCCAAGGTGCCGGGACTTTGGCACTTCGACGGTGAAGAAAACGCTGGTCGACGTGTCGGTCGGCGAGTCCGTGAGGCCGCACATCTCGATCTCTTGCGCGGCGAATTATTGCGACAATTGCAAGGAAACGATCAAAAGTCTGGCGAAGCAAATCGCGAATAATGCGGAGAACAGCCTGAATTATCAGAACAGCAACATGATATCCAGGATCCCGAGGCCGTCCCATATTCCCCTGAATACCAGCGATCACAGGCGGCAATTCAAACGCCAGGACACCTACACGAAAATACCAGCCGTCGGTGTGATTAGATACGACGCGGACAATAAAGAGCAGTACGACAGTAGCAATCGGTTAGTCACTTGGGATTACATCTTTATTTTATCTTATCTTTTACGAGATACTGGAGAATTAATGAAGATTTTATAGAGATTAAGAATTTAACATTTTTATCGCAAAATAATTCCCAATCTATGAAAAATAAATTGTTAACTGTGTCTAAGTTATTCTCCAAAAAAAAAATAGTAACTTGAAAAGGGTAAATTAATTTATCCCATAATTTTCGTATAAAGATTTATAAATTATTTATTTGCAAAAAATTGCACATTGCATATAATTAATTTTTTATATTATGCTTATCGTGTAGTTTTTAACTTGCTTCCAAATAAGTAGATCAAACCGTTTACCCCTTCAACTTCGATCCACCCTTCCCGCTCGACTGTACGCTCCACGCCATCTGTTATTTCCGTGGTCGAAGGTTGCTATTGCAAGGGGGTTGTTTCGCGTAAAAGAGGGTGGCAAGAGGGTTGCACGAAGCCAGTTGCAGAGTCGCGCGTATGACGTACTTCGTGCCGGGTAGTTTGTTGTTCTTTTTGAGTCCATGGTTGCGCGCGTGCCGAGTGCGTCATCGAGTGCTCTCCCTGGCACAACAACCACGACATAAATACCGCGACGGAAATCGGATATCGGTGCGCGTCCCGCGTCGTATTGTCGGTTTTGCAATGGTGAACGAATAAGCGCATTCTCGATCTCGACAGATCGATGCTGCAGCAGCAGCAACAGCAGTCACCGCGAACTGCTCCTTGTTTGTTCAACGATCTCGAAGTCTCCGATATCTCGCCTTATCCGGCCACGGAAGGGTAATGTCTTCCCCTCCCCTCTCCCCATATGATGTCTTGCTTCTATTTGCAGCGCCATAATCATTTTGCCATTAATTTCCTCAGTATTGAATATTTAATATTTTAACATCAATAGCGAATATAACTAACACAGCTTAACAATTTTTTATATTTTATAGATCTTTTATTGTATACAAAATACATTATATATGTATCTTTTATTTAAGATTTGGAATTTAACCCTTTTGATTACGCCAATTATTAGATTATATTAATTTTATTCGATAGATTTCGCAGCTTCCCTTACATAACTGCATGCATAAAGAAATAATAATTAATTAGTAAAGAATATTATATGTATCTGCCACAAACAATTTTAAAAATAAATATGAAAAATTTTGCTTTTGCCTCTCGTAGCATTCAACAATTGCAATCCGAGAAAATCAAGGATGAGAAGATTGCGTCGGAAGAGATGCGTAACGTGGAGAAGGAGGCGGATAACGGGGAGAAGTCCGAGCTACCAGAATCGGCTCTGTTTCAACCGATCCAAGATAAACCTAGGAAGAAGGTCGAGCCCTCGAAAGAGATGCAGGCCGCCATGAAGGTGCTCAACGACAGTATCAAGAAGTCACCTAGCAGAAATATCTCTCATCAGCTTAAGAACGCTACCAATATTATACAGCAAGAATGGTTCAAAATATCCAGCACATCTAGCGCAAATCCGTTAGATGTCGAGGATTATTTGGATCGTTTCGAGGAATGCTCCAGCACCCTGCTGGAGTACATCGTCAACATGACGGACACCAGTGGAAATACAGCGATGCACTACGCGGTCTCTCACGGCAATTTCGACGTGGTGTCTATATTGTTAGACTCGAAAGTCTGCGATATTAATAAAGCAAACGTGGCTGGTTACACGGCTGTGATGTTAGCTGCTCTGGCAGAAGTCAGAAATTCCACGCACGCCTCGGTGGCAAACAGATTGTTCCAGCTTGCCGACGTCAACATCCGAGCAAAATTGGTAAGCTCTGTTACATTACAATAAATATAATGAGAAGCATTAAAGGAAAATTTTCTCTTTCCCATTTTTGCTCAAATATTTTTATAATTTCTTAATTTTCTTCTGGACGAACAGCACGGGCAAACTGCGCTGATGTTGGCGGTATCGCACGGACGCAAGGATATGACGCAACTGCTCCTGGACGCCGGAGCGGCGGTTAATATCCAAGACGAGGACGGTAGCACCGCGCTGATGTGCGCCGCGGAGCACGGCCACACCGACATCGTGAGGCTGCTCCTCGCGCATCCAGACTGCGATCCAGCTATCGTCGACGTGGACGGCAGCTCGGCCCTGAAGATCGCCCTGGAGGCGGGGAACCGCGACATCGGAGTGCTACTTTACGCTCACGAGCGCGTCAATCGGGGCATCAGCCCGTACTCGACTCTGAGGCGAAGCAGAAGAGGTTCCAAGCCGACGACGCCTACCGGACCGTCTCCGTCGGCTCCAGCTAGCCCGGCGCCATCGCGACGCCTTCATTCGTCCAGCGTTTCTCTGAATACATCGAAATATTCCAAATAATTCCAATAGCCAGATCCTTTATAAGATTTTCTTATAGATTCATCCGTCATGATTTTTCTCTTCGCGCATTATTTCGAACTTAATAGTAACTGGCAAGCGAGTCACAGTATAACCGGAACTTCAAGTGTAACTTTTCTTTTGTACGATCTTTTTTATGTTCTCCTACAAGTTCTGGTTTATATACGATGTATATTAATTCTTACATTCGTGCTAAGAACATTATATACGTTCAACGATATGTTGAAGTCCTCTTGCCTAACGATCGATTCATTTCGACGTGGAACTATATTGTATAATTAGAAAGTCAAGAACAATGCTCAACTGTATATATCTATTCAGGGTAACGTTGGAAAAATCTTGTAATTTAGTTCATAGTAGAGTAATATCTTTAGGAATAATCCATCATAGGTGCTGTTAGACATTTTGACGAATCTTTCATAAATCCTCCGTAAATTTTATACGATTTCGATTGTGCATACCCTCGGGGATTTTTCTCTCAAGTGGGGGTGTAGAAGTACAAAATACCTAATACATATGACGATACAATCCACAGCAAAAAAAATTGATTGATTTTTTTTCTTCTTGACTCTGTGGCATTGAACATTCCAAAAAAAAAGAACGCTCGTCAATCCGAACAATTTCTTACGATAGAAATTTGTACAGTATTTAATATACCCACAGAATTCAGGCCTAATCTCAAATAATTACTCTTTGGGATCAAATTGTCAGTATCGTGTGTACATATGTATTTTTATGTACACACGATGTATAGGTACACCGATATGCGTAGAGAAACATTACGTAGTGATATATGTAATAAATGTATATGTTATAACAGTGTGAGATTTTTACGATTTCAACGATTGACGACGGCGTTTTCACGCGCGAGCAACATCAAACATATATATGTACTTATCATTGTTCTACATTGAGATAAAGATGTTAGATAGCGAAAAATTGTATAAAAGTAGTATATCTAGTTGTGAAACTTACGTCGAAAGACTTATGAAGGAAATTTATGTTTTTTGGACTTGTTAACGATTTTCATATCGAGAATTTTATATACGATCATATCGAGATGTTAATGTACGTTTATTTAACCGAGCAAATCGTCATCACAAGAACATCTAATAAAAATCGCGTTCTACTAACGTGAAGAATAAAATACATTGAACATTTTTCTTATAAGGTTGTGAATAGAATTATAATTAAATTATTTAAGTTCGAGAGAAAGAGAGATCAAAGATCCTCATAGTTTAACGTTATCGTAAGTGTTTCTCCATCTTTGAGAGTAATTCTATGATGATTGTTGGCGTGAGATATAATTGTCTGTATATCAAATGTGTAGACAATGTATGAAACACACTGATACCGTAGGAATTATCTAGAAAGTAGAAAAGTACTCCTTATTGTTTGTGCCTTTATATTTAATATAATACTATTAATATAATAAACTGAAGCACTGCAGGTGATTCCTTCAAATGCCCTTTGCCCATGATCAATTAAATATTATAAGGAAAAATATTTTTTATATAATAGAATGAAAAGCTCTCTTTAAAAGCATATGTTTATGAATTTGAGATGATATATCGACGATAAAACGATAAATCTCTTTAATATGTGTGTGAAAGATACTTATACATTAAAAACCATCTGAACAAATTTTCTAACAATAATATGCCAGAGATAATTGTAGAATATCAATATTATCAATTGTCGATATAAATTTTTCTTCCAATATAACATTTGAACAGATAATTTTTAATTGATTGCGAAATATCAGGGTTATAATAAATTAAAAAATTAATATTATGAACTAATCACCTTTAACAGCTATGCGAACTTTCACGAAACTTATTTTCTAACCTAGCATAACTTAATTTAATCGCTGTCCGTAGCACTCGTATTCTCTTTACACGTCATTACGATCGTGACGTTGACATATATCGACATATATTTTCTATTCGCCAGTTGCCTGTATTTTCTATTTAATTGGTAAATTGTAAATGTTATATTGAAAAGTCTCGGACAGATTTTTTTAGATGAGTTTTACGAATGTGTGGCTTACGTATTTGAGGTTATATTTATACGTGAATATTTTCAGTATAAGTATCGTTGTTTAATACAATTTACTTGCGTGGGAAACATATTTTCACTGAAATAATTAATTGTTGCTGCTTCCTGGGTAAGTTTATTTTGTTACAAGTATTATATTTGTGTAAGCATTAATAAAAAATTAAACCAACCTCACATATTTTTTTTTCTAGAGAGGGAAAGATTGAAATATTCTTCAAGTTCATAAAGGTGTTTTATGGGACAATAATTTTTTTCTATACCTGTTCATCCACTAAGCTATCAAGATTGCTAACAAAATGCGACGTTCTCATTCAGGTAAATTGTCATATGTTAACAATGTATATATATCAAGTCTTATTTTATACATAATTTTCATTTTGACAGGTGGTTATGGCTACGAGCCATTGCCAAGTACATCTACTCACAATGCCATGGAGGACGAAAACGAAAGGATGGCTGAAGAACTGAAGGATAAAATTCACGCTTTAAAATCATTATCTATTGACATTGGCACCGAAGTCAAATATCAAGATAAAATGCTAAGAGACATGGTTAGTTGGCCATTTTTTAGAGACACATTAACGCAACTTTATACATTATGTTAAATGTAAGAAATATAAATTTATATTTTAGGATGATGATTTTGATAGGACAAGCGGCTCCTTGTCTGGTTCTGTGGCGCGTGTTTTGCGTCTAGCCAAAGCAGGCCACAATTATTATATCATATATTTGGTCCTTTTTTCTATAGCAGTATTTTTTGTGTTGTGGATAGTTTTAAAGTTTAAATGATTGTACATACGATTTATAGCTAAGGTGATTTGTATATAAAACATATTTAGGGGTAAAAGTATGTAGATATTCTAAATAAGTTATATTCAGCTATAGCTTGAATCTTTTGCATTATTTCATCGTACATAAAACTTTATTCTTCTTTTATAAAATAACGTACAATTGTTATGTCATACTTATAAAAGAAAATAATTTAGGGCAAGCAGCAGGAGATGGCATACTCTCTTGGAAGAAAGAAAAAAAATATTTTTTTTACAAATACATTTGGTATACCTTAGGAAGGAATTTAATTATAAATAATAAAAGCAGAAATTGTATTTGTAACACTTTTTGTATATTTTTCATTGTAAATTCTAAATTATTTTCTCTCTGTTAGAGTCTCCGCTAAGTGCGGTTCGAATGCGCGAATTCGAAATTTCGAACCCCACTTAGCGAAGCCTCGAACCAACTCGAACTTTACTTAGCGGAGACTCAAACCCCACTTAGCGAAGATTCGAACCGGTTTTTTCTCTATGATTTGATTTGATTTCTCATGATGTTGGCAACACTGTATGCTATAGCCGGTGGCGGCAGTGGCGAGTGGCCCTCGTGGTAGATACGTAAACATGTGGCATCTCTGAAAGAATCGATAGGTTAGAAACGCGGAAATACTTCTTAAACGCGTACGATTTTAATAGAAATTTTTACAAGATGAAGATTAAAGCTTTGCGAAAAAATCCTCTGAGTCGCCCGAGAGAAGAGAATGACGTGGCGAACGATCAACCGAGCACTTCGACGGATCAGGCTTCGGAGGTTCTGCTGCCGTCTGACAGTAACTTCAATCACATCAAATGCAAAGCGCTGAGATATCAGAAATGCCAGGAATTGATGAAGGAACGAGCGAAGGCAAAGAAAGCAGCGAAAAAGGCGAGGATACAGGCGGGCGCTCCGAAACAGATGCCGCATACTCTAGAGAGTTTGCGAGAGAAGGATGAGACTACGGTAGTGGGTGATCTGGATGATGAGGCGAATGAGGAGCTGAAATTTGATCTGGAGCACGATGAATTCGCTGCCTACTACAAGCAGGAGTATGAGCCTAAGGTCCTCATTACATACGCCGATAATCCAAACAGGAAAACTAGAATTTTTGGCAGAGAACTCACCCGAATGGTACCCAATTCTATTTCGCTGTATCGAAATCGCTCTGGCGTTAAGAAAATGGTCAAGAGTGCTATTGCCAGAAACTTTACGGATATAATAATCGTTAATGAGGATCAATGCAAACCAAGTATCCTTATAATATAATACTGATAATTTTTGTAATAAGCTAGTTTATATATTGTATAATATATTTTTTAGATAAGTTGATTGATAGGGAATTATTAGATCCAGTAGTCTTTTTAGGAAGCTTCATTTCAGAAGCAATCCATTTATGTCGCTGACAAATTTCGATTATACGTTATATAAAAATATTAGGCTGATTAAATTTATTTTTATTTAGAAATAGTTTTCCTTATGTAAAATGTTAGATGGAATGTTGGTCGTTCACTTGCCAGATGGGCCTACTGCACATTTCAAGATCAGCAATGTTAAAATAACGACAGATTTGAAACGTAGCCATAAGGAGATCACAGAACACAGGCCAGAAGTTATTCTCAATAACTTTACCACACGCTTGGGTTTCACTGTCGGCAGAATGCTGGGAGCATTGTTTCATTATCAGCCAGAATTTAAAGGAAGGAGAGTGGTGACATTTCACAATCAAAGAGATTATATATTTTTTAGACATCATAGGTAATTGTACAACAGTTTTATTTCTTAATAAATTCTACAAATTTTTTTTAAATATTTTGCTAAAATTTATGACTGTTCATAAAAACATTTATTAAAATTAAAGAATTTATAAAATAAAAATTTAGATAGTTTATGTATAGAATTTTTGTATTTTATTATTAATTACAGCATTATTAATCAGTTCTATATCACGGAATTTCTATTCTATAAGTACTTACAGTGAAAATTAACACCAATGTAAACCATATTTTATATCTTAATCTAACATGAATTATTTTGCAGGTACGAATTTAATCTCAAGAATGGAAAACCGAGATTGCGAGAATTAGGTCCACGGTTTACTTTGAAATTAAGATCATTACAGCATGGTACATTCGACAGTAAATATGGCGATTACGAGTGGATTATACAAGGCCGTAGACATGAGATGGAGACAAGCAGAAGAAAATTCTTTTTGTGAGTAATATGTATTAGAATTATGACAGGGAAAGAATTCGTTGAAAAGAAAATTATATAATCATGATTATATGCTAAATACGTAAATAAACTATTAATTTCTTCGTACAAAAATATGAATTCCTTATCACAACACTTGTGAAAATAGAGTATCTAATTGGTCGCAGATTTTTTAGTTGATTGAGTAGATGAGTTTTTATTGTCCCTCGGATAGTTATATTGCTTGATCGCACGCGGTTTAAAAGAATTAAGGGATACTTGAGTGCGATTCAAAACATAAACTGCAGCTGGGAGACCTCCTATGTTCACACCAATTATTTTTATCACCCAAAATAAATCGCCTGCTGCCATCAAAGCCTAAAATAAATAATAGAATTTTTCGGATCGTAGTAAAATATTTTATTTTAACTTTTACTTTAAATCTCTTCTTTAATTAATATTTTAATTCTTGCACGTAATTGTAACAAAAACTTACGTCTTTAAAGTTACATCTATCATAAGTGAGTAGAACTATTCGTCCATTAAATTTTACCATACGGCCAAGTTCTAGCAAAAATTGCTTGTAAAAAACTTTGTTGTATGACTTATTCCCACTTCTTTTACCGAAAGGCTGCAGATCGTTAAAAAAATGATTATTTTTATGAGAGACATAAAGATATTTAAAAATTATAAAATTGGGACAAAATTTGTGATTAATTTCCATACCATGTCAGTAACGATAATGTCGACAAAAGAATCTTTGAATGGCAATTTTGAAGCAGTCCACTGTACGAGATCTATATTGCATCTAACTGTTGAAGCATCCATATTTGATTTTGTTCTATCTGTAGCTCTGGAATCATTGTCGCCGCATAGAACGAATGCGTATGGAAAAGCTAAAGTTGCCTGAAATTTAAGTGTGAATAGAAATCTATATAAACTGTTAATTTTATTAGTGTTGTAAACATGCAATATATACCTCTATAGGAATAGAACCTCCGCCGCACATAGGATCTACTATTATATCTCCTGGTTTGGGATTCGCCAATTTTAACAAATTATAACATATGGTTGATCTGAGAGTAGTTGGTCCAAAATTTACAATGTTTCTGTTATGCTTGGATTTGTGCGTCACGCGTAAATGCGTTATTAGTTGATCTAAAACATTTAGAAACAATTAATTACAATATTACCTTATCAGTAGTAATATATAATTGATTTTTGGAAATATTGTAAAACTAATATGTATTTCTTGTTAAAATTCTTTAGTCTATTAATTCTCATTTTTCGTACCGTCTATCAATTTGCAGACAATTTCCAGATGATACATGGATAAGTCAACCAGCCAATGAAATTTGTCCTGTAATACCTCTCCAACAACCCTAGCGACATCCTTAGATTCGACTGCATGCTTGCCACTCCTCTCGCATGTTACTCTGTACTTGAGTATGTCATTCTCTTTAGATTGTGAAGGATCTTGTCCTCTTTTCTTTCCTCTCTCTTCTTTCATCCCTGATACGTCCCAATCAAGAGGATCTTTTTCCTCTTTTTCTTTGTTACGCATCTCTAACATTTCTGTTTTCTCCACAAGATTTTGCTTTTTAGCTTCAATATACTCTTCAGCTGTCGGGAAAAGTTTCCCTTTGAAACTTGTTGCGCATTTCCATGCTTCAAGAGTTTTGTTCCATATATTATCTGAGTTTGAGAGTACATCTAAATTATAATTTCTTATACGCAGTAAGTCTGATTCTTTGTCATTGGTAAATGACAGAGTCCCGTTCTCAGCTACTATGAATATATGGTCAATCGATCTCATTTGTTGAACCTACAATATTTATGGCAAAACGTAAACATCGTGATTCTTCCGCGTATATTAAAAAAAAATCTGGTATGGTTATGTGGTAGAGTACTTTTGAAAACTGATCCCAATCGATATTAAAATAGATTCTTCCACGTTGCTTGACCACCTGAACATCTTTGCCCAATTTCTCCTTGCATTCATCGATCGCTTCCCACTCGAAACCTGCGTCAACAAAATTATTTGTTGTAGGTTATGTTTATCAAAACACGTGGATTTCTCTTGATCTTGCAAATAATTTCATACCTGTGTCCACAGTGACGCCGATCGTGAAAACATTGTCATTATTAGTGGATTTTGCGAAGAGTTCACTTACAGATTCGCTGATACTCATCGTTGAAATCTTATTCTAGCAGCTAACGTTACAGTCCCACGAGAAAAATAACGACGCGTACCGTATGCCTGTGTTTACCTGACGCTACACACACATACATAGCATTGCGCATGACTTGATTTTAATTTACATCTCCTTTATCGAAGAAGATTGTCAGGAAAATTTGAAAAAAAAAATAAAGTTCTAATTGATTTAATCTTTCGATTTTGTAATTATGTTAATATTTATACAGATAGAATTTTTAATTATATTTGCATATAAAAAAATTAGTATTATTGATATGTTAAAAGTATCAAAAGCCAATTAACTCAGCATAGAGAATTCAAAAAGAATTTAATCATATGTTAATAATTTTTAGTTAATTTTCAGATGCAAAAAGATTTAAAATGCAATAATATCTAAAATAATTATAATTCTTGGAATAGAATTTTAATAGATAATTATTTTAATTTCAGGATTTAAATTTTAATTTTCCTTCGAATTACTTCCGATCCTATTAATCTTCCTATTTTCCTAATTTCTAATTTCCTATTCGAAATTACGAAGAATAATCAAATATAATTAATATTATATAATTAAAATCCACAGAAGTAATCGCAAAGCGCTATAAAATAAATGACACAATGCCTCTTTAATAAGCAATTTAAGGTATCGTAATGACGGGTCATCCAACTTGACACCAATAGACACCTCATGTAAATTAATGACATATATCAATAAGTAGTATTTTTGGTACGTGCAGTTGCATAAACTCGCACGTTACGGTGGACGTTATAAATGGATCTGCATCGAATATGCAGACGACGTTATACCTTTTCGCGCTGTCAACTAACGTGACCGCGTCCGGCAGCTCCGAGAGCGCTTTCCCGTGTTTTAATCTATTTCATTAATTAACGAAAATTAGTCCGACACTCACCGACCAATACACATCCCGCTTGCGACGACAGACAATATAAAATCAATGCTAATTTATGATGCCGATATAGAAGATGTCGCATGCTACTAAAGCGCCAGATCGAGCGCGCTATTGTTAGTCCGCAAGCATAATTTTTAAGCGATTAATTAAAAATTAATCTGATGTACGTGGAACATTTGCCAAAACCGAAATATATACGATAACGTTCGGCAAATCTTTTTTAATCTCCCTCGGAACAGTATCTGTCAAGCTGAAAAAAATACTAAATTATTTTAATCACTCACGTTAATTTATCTCTTCCTCTTGGACGATGTATTTTGATTATTATTCCATCAATTAATATCGATGTTATTATACAAATAACGATGAAATTTCAGTTAAGAACTAAATTTATATTATATTTTTATTGCCTAAGCAAATAATATTCGAAATTTGATGCAACAACTTCTAATATTCTACCTACGTAAATTAGCGCGTAATATTAGTAATATAACATTCGCAAAGTAATTTATTATGGAATGCTATAGCGACGCGCGTCCTCCTTTCGACGCGTTGTTATTTAGAGCCGGATAATTATATCCGGAGCATTCTTTTTTTCCGATCGACAACCATTCGCGATCTTTATATGTGGCTCGGCTCATTCAAGGTTCAGGCTTGCAGCGCGGTTCAATAACCTTTTACCGTGGCGCATGAATATTCAGCGAAAGCGCAATGGGCGTCCATCGTAAGTGCCAATTTCAACTTTGTGCGCGCACCGTCTCTATGACTGAAATCCAGTTCCTCCACTTCGCGCGAGACCGGACCGGACGGCTGGACGGTTCGCGACGTGAAGGCTCATATTTCAGTCGGTCATCGTAAGGCACCAAATGTCAAACGCACAGACAGACCGCGAAGGGAGATACGCGCGAGGCATCGTGCAGCCAGCTATAAATCAGCTCGCCAATTCTCGGCTTCCCGATTTTTCCTCTCGCATTTTCTCGTATCTCGTTTTGTACCTTCGAACAATACAAACAGAGAGATACAAAAACTTGTCTTATTTCAGCACGAGACAGTACGGAAGATTTTACGAAAGTCTTTCTATACGCTTTTAATATATGATGTCACAGTGATTACGTTAAGTCCCGAAGTAGTCGCGCTAATTTAATTCGGTAAGATATGCGATTCTCTAATGAGAGCGCAACGGATTCAACATCGAATCATCTCACGTTATGTCGTACGAGCAATCCGCGGAGAGTCATCTATTTTGTACGCTAATTTGCATTAGCCCGACGTACATCATCTTTGGATAAATATATATCTAATATAGTTATGCACTTTTAAGTAAGAATAATCGACGAAGACTTAAGATCGTTCCACGTGCGAATCTCCAGCAGATTTTAATAATAGAAACGTCATTCGATCAATAAGAAATTAATATTCAGAAAGGCGTAGTAGTAGATCTTGAATATGGCACGAGGCACTTATTTTAAAAGTCATTTTCGAAACGAAGAATTTCAATTTGACAGAAAATTCGATAAAATTTTCGATATCAAAACTTTATAAGTATGATTTATTTGTATGATACGAACGATAATTTTCTACTTTTAATTGACGTTAAATCAAATTGTGTATTGCAGCCTTCAAGTTAATTGAATATACTATGTGAGAATTCATTAACTTAATCATTAATTGTGACAGGACAAACATCGCTAACAAACATTTTAACGGGAATAACAAGTACCGAAATAAATAAGTAATCAGCGCATCTCTTCGCCTTCGTCCCTTGCATCCTCAGCATCCCCGGAGTAAGCGGTGGGCGCGCGAACTGGGACACGTGGAAATAAATATGTAATTCCCTGATATTCATAGACAATCGATCGGTATCCTGAAATTAGACTCATCATCGCCGATGGCAAATGGCGGCGCAAGAGAAAAAGAGCGGGAGCGAGAGAGCAAGAAAAGGTGAAAATCCATCGCGGCGACGGAGTCTGCATCTTCTTCGACTCTCTCGGGTCATTTCGGGTCGAAAGTTCGCCAGGGCACGGCTCCCCTATACATAGAAGCAACCAGGCTGCTCCTCCTGCTGCTCCTTCTGCTGCTACCGCTACGGATGCTGCTGTTGATGCTGCCACTGATGCTGATGCTGATGCTGCTGCTGCTGCTGCTGCTGCTTCTGCTGCTGCTGCTGCTCGTCTTTCTCTTTCGCTCTTTCTCTCCGCGCCGCGTAGCATCCCGCGAGCTGACAGGTGAAGCCGGGCACCTGAAATATTCATCGGATGCTGGGTTGAACGAGGCGCGACCGAACGTCAATCTGTCAACCTGCTTCCAGCTTGCTATGTATCCGCGTATGTATCCGCGAATCCTGCACTCTCGTTTGTGTGTGCATTCGGGTACGAGACGTGCGCGTGTATACTCGATTATTCGCGACATACACACATATACGTACGATAGCGACACACGAACGCGTCTCCTCCTGCCGCTCTGGTTATATTGGCAATTATATGGAAAGATGAGATCGATTCAGCGACGAATGCAGATTTCACATTCGCGAACGTGCCTGACGGCCGCGAGTTGCGATATGCATATCGTTTTTGCGCTTTATCTATCTCGTCGTTATTTGAGAGATAACAATCATGATAAAGATCTTTCTTATGATATTTAGTGTAAGTACCATAAAATATAAATTAAATATTTATAACGAATGTGCAATCTAATGTACTTTATTTTTATAATTGCATATAAAATGCTCCTAAGAAATTTGCTTAAGATTTAGAAGTGGCAGATTTAAATTTCATTATCGGAGATTTCTTTTAGCTAAAATTATTACTGAGAATTTAAATTAAACATTTGCCTTAAATATTTCAGATAAAAAATAACTCGAAAGAAGACATAATTTAAAATGTCTGTCAAAATCTAGTTGCAAAGATAAGTATAATAAGGGAACGTATAGAAATTGTTATAATAAAATTTTAAAAACCGCATATTATGAACGTTTACTTAATAAAAAATCATTCACTTTTCGTCTTTCAAACGTCATTGTGAATGTGATAATTATTCCATTATTCAATTTTCTCATATATAATGTGTAATAACACTTTCAATTATTATCATAATGTTTTTCAATAATTCGCAAGATTTATAGAAGTTAAGGGTCGTCTCTTCAGACATATGTCGATATCCTCAATCTTCGTAAGTTTTACAACTGCAAGTGCATTATACATATTTATACGCATATGTCGACGCACGTGTAGATCTCTCGCTCGTCGGTTTCCCGCGTTTCCAGTCGTACAGCTGGAGATAGGGTAAAAGACCCGACGAATTAAGCCGACACTTTGAGGGGCTTTTAAAATTTAAATAATGCATTGTTGCCGGACCCGTCATTCGCCTCTTTCCCGCCACTGGTTATCCCATCTCGAACGATGCCTCGGACTGCGTTCCTGGCTGTCGACCCTCGTTTCGCCGACTTTTTGGCAGTTCTCGGTAAAGCACTGTCGGTACCGACATCGACGTGCATCAGGAATTGTGTAATTTTCACGGAGAAAATACGAAATAAGCGTGCGGAAGAAACTTTGCGGCCGACCAGGCTGACATGAGTTGATGCAACCTATATGGAATTAATCTTTCCTGATCTCCGACATCGAAATAAATTGGACACAATGATTTGTGATACTATTATCTTGAATATATTTTTTGTCTTACAAATTATGCAAAAGTTTACGTATAAAAAAAAAGTTAAAAAATGTTTGATGCACGTCGCACGTAAGTTGCGCGTGCATCAAACATTAGTAATATGTAACATAATTTTTGTATATAACGACAATATTATACTTATTTGTAAAAAATGTATGTGATTATTAATTAATAGACTAAATCTGTATACAATGTGCATGTATATGTATATATGTACGTATATATATTATTAATGATTTAAAATTGCTTGTTTTATAAATATACTTTCGTATACTATTTCTATGTATTAAATTAACGAAAATTTTACGCAGAATCGCGAGTCTGAATTTCTTCTAGAATTTCAAATTTGGAAATTACAAAACGGGAAAATAGATAAAGTATCAGAAGAATATACTTAATCGGCAAGCAGATTACACTATATCTTCTACAATTTCAAGAATTTTTCCACATTCCAAAATTTTTCTCAATTTTTAATTAATTACGTTTATATACAATTTTATGTTTACATCCAATAAATACATTGATAATTATATGTTATTATTCTATTATATGTTATTTTAACAATATTAAATTTAATGGAAACTGTGATTGGAACAAAAATAAAATCTCGTAGCAGA